TCCATTTTAAATGGGCTTAAATAGGTTAACCCAAAGTGGTCGAGGGCTGTCCATTTAAGCCCGCATATATTTTTAAATTTTTTCATATAAAAAATAATTCTTAACTAAATTTTATTAACCCATTTAAGCCCATTTAAATATTTTTAATTTGATAAAAAATGTAAAAAAAAACATAGATAAAAGAGCTCAAAGCCCTTGAGCTAGCCCTAAACTCACTAAAAGATAGACTTAGCATATAGCCTAGTTTGGTATGCAAGCCTTAATTTAGAGGGATTGAGATTGGGACTGGGACTGGGATTGGGAATGATAGTGGAAATGAGGTTTTAAAATTATATTTGGTATGAGGTAATACTTGTAGGAAATACTTTTTTTTATTCTATTTTACAATTAAACATAAATTATAAAAAGACTATAATATCCCTTAGAATTAAAAAAAAAAAAGCAACCTTAACTCTGATAAACCCTTCTTCACCTTCTCCCAAACTGTGAGCACGACGGCACCGAGAGGCCACTGCCTCTACTCTCCAACCAGGCTCCACACATGACGCCTTCAACTATCCAATTCAATCCACGGCTTCAATCCATAGTAAATCCATTGCTTAAATCCACTGCGATTTAGAGAAATAGTAGCAAATGAAAGCAAGTGAGATGCAATTTGGAGGGAGAGATGACTTGCGATAGAGATGGAGATAGGAATGACTTACAATGGAGATGGCAATGGGAACAACTTTTGACAGAGATGGCGATGGAGACAACTTGTGACGAAGAATGCGACTGGAATGACTTGCCATAGGGATGGCAACGGGATCGACTTGTGCCAGAGACGGCCATGGGAACAACTTGCAACAGAGACGGCAAGCGAAATGACTTGCGATGAACGACTTGTGACAGAGATGAAGAAGTAGAGGGTGGCCGAAGATGATGGAGGGGAGAGATTGGAAAGGCATTTTTATCTAAACAATATCAATCCCAGGCTTAATTTTGGTGAGATTGAGTAATGCCATGGGGGTGATGGGTTTCAATATTCCCACCTAGGTGGGATTGAGCAATCCCAAGCATTGGGGGAATGCTTCCTACCAAATATGCTAAAGGTGGGATTATTTTAACCCAATCCTAGTCCTTACCCACCATTGATGTGTACCAAACAGGGCATATAGGTCTCAAAGGGCAAGTGAGCTTAAATGGGCTAACTTTTTTAGACTCGAGCTAGTTAAGGGCTAACCCTTTAGGTCAGGCAAGCCCATTTTCCCAACTTTGTAAGTAAATGGAAAAATTATTCATCTCGAGTGCTTGAATCAACTAATTAAAGATTGATTCAATTTAACTAAAAATTTTAAGTTTAAACTTTGAATATGAAACAATGATTAAATTCTCTTCAGGTAAATCTAGCAAATTGATAATTTAGTAAAGGATATGAGTGATTTTGTGATTTTATTGAACTTCTTTTGTATTTAGATTTATCATGTAGGACTTAAAAGTAATTTTCTCATAAATGAATGTCTTCATAGGTTTTATTTCCTTTTGCTCTAATATTGGAGTATTAATCCTCTAACTAGTTGATCCAAGTCGTGATGAATGTCTTCTTAGTTGGACTTAGATAGTTAGAGATTAAACTGAAAATTGAAGTTTTAAGAAGTGTATATATACATAAATATCACAAAATTAAGTTTTAAGGTAAAGTATTAAAATAAAAAAGATTAATTTAAATCACAGAAACAAAATTTAAAAATAATTTTTGAAATAATATATAAATAAGCATTCTTTGTCTCAAAACGTCAAAAAAGATTAAATGAGAACATTCACATTTCTATGGTAATCACAGGTTAAGTCGGTTATAGATTTTTAGCTTAAATGAGAATTAACTCAAGTGCACCCATAATTTTAAGCTCACAGCTAACTCTAAACTTTTTTCTAATTAAGTTCAACTTTACCAAACTTTTTGCCTTTAGGAGAAGAACTGAATTTAAAGTAAATGTTATTTTTACTTATAAATAGTAGTTCATATATGAATTTAATATACATTTTTTCAAGACTAAGAGTAAGACAAGATAGTATTGAACCATGTGTTTTGATAATTATAGAACTAAAAGAAAAAATTTTTGTTACTTGTGCAGATATTAAAATCCATTGATATGACAAAACCTCCAAGATCATGAAAAATCAAGATAAGAAGTTATATAGGTTTAGTTTTTTATTTCTCTTAGATTCAATATGAAAATTATGAAAGTTTAATCACATGTCATTATTTTAAAATGAATGCATCATCTTTTAGGCTTATAAGTCCTTTGATCTTAATTGTCATATATTTAGAGTGCACTTGTGTTTATGTGTTCATTTCAAGCTTAAAATGATCATTGTTGTTCATTATAGGACTTGTTTTAGTCCATTCAAACTTGAAAAAAAAGTGAGTCATGCTTAAAATGGATCATAGAAGTTGAGCCTTATACTATATGACATTTCAAACTTGAATCAAGATTAATTCATGCTTGATTTGTCACTTGGGACACATTGCATGATGTTTCATGCCTTCAGAATTGATCTACGCGTGATTTGTCGCCTATTCATGTGAGTTGTTTTGATGAAGCTTCTGTACTCCAATTCACGCCTGAAAGGTATTTGCACACACACTTGAATTGTCATATAGCATCAGATTGCATTTAGAAGTAATGATGATTTATGCCTGGAATGTGAATTTCCATGCTTGATTTGTCACTTGTTTACTTGGACATAAATCTAGCATAATAGAGTCTAAAGTCATTCAAGCTTGATTTGTAATGTGCTCAAGCATGATTTGTCACTTTAAGAAGCTAAGTGTTTCTATCATACTATTCACGCTTGAATGTATTTTGATTCCCTACGTGATTTGTCATCCAAAATGACTTGGGCTTTCTGACTAGTCATTTCACGCATGAGTAAAAGAGTGTTCCACGCATAATTTGCATCTCAAATAGCTTTGGCTTTCTATCAGCCATTTCATATGTGAGAGATAGATAGATCTACGCTTGATTTGTTATACAAAATAGTCTAATTCTCACACGTTACAAATCAAGTAGGAGTCATCTCATGTCCACGCTTGAATTGTCATGTATGCTTGATTGGAACTTGGCTAAACTCCATTTCACACATAAATCTTTTGGTTTCATGCTTGAAATGTCACCAACAGTTACATTCACTATTCCAATAGTCTAAACTTTGCCAAACTATGTATATGACTCAATTTAAGTTTAGAGCATGAATTTTTATCAATAAGTGAGCTATTCAAAGTCTAAACATTCTTAAAAATGTTCAATTTGTACATCAAAGATCTTGCATTTATTCATATTACAACTCTTGATAAATTTGTGAAAATGCTCTCATTAGTTCTTAAGTTTTCATTATATTTAATCTACTCTTTATAGAGAATTAAGTTTTCAAGTGAATTGTAACAACTTGTTGGTTATAGCAAAGGTTGTTGTTGAAATAAGGCTAGTCAAATCTTGAGAGTTGTACTAAAGTTACAAGCACTCACTAAATTTTGTGATTATAGTTAAAAAATTTCAAAGGTAATCTTGAGGACTAAATGTAAACCAAGTTATTGGGCTGAACCGGGATAAATCATTGGTGTAAAAGCTTTTTCTCCTTGAATATCTTATCATTTACTTCTACTCTTCTTTAAAATTCAAAAAAAAATTAAATATCACTCAATTCACCTCCTTTTAGGTGCCAGCCACATCGAACAAATAAGATTTATTCTATATATGTGTGTATTAAAATTCAAAAATTCTTTATACACATATCATTTGAAAAAATAATTGCAATTACATAGTAATTATATAAAAAATGATGCTATTCTACTTAAATATAAATATTAAATTGGAAGAATTATTGTGAAGTCCTAGCCAATCAATTTAGTTATCCCCAAATCCCAAAAAATGCATAAATTGCCACTAAATCCTAAATCCCAATGCAATTACAAAAATTTCCTTACATTATTTTTTTAAAAAAATATCATTCATTCACCACCTTCATCAAAGCTCCAGCCACCACTGTCGATTGCCGAGACACTTGGTGGCGCTGGACTTAAACTCAAGTTGTTATTTCCTTTTTTTTTTGGTAAAAATTTGTTATTTCCTAACACCCAAGTTATAATTATCATTTTCCAAGTTATTACTTTTGTATACCTAAGTTATTATTTTCCTTTGCCAAATTCTCATTATGCTTGAATTGTCTTTTACTTAAACTGAAATTATTATTTTCTCATACTCAAGTTGTTATTTTCATTTGCCAAATTGTTATTTCCTTCTACTCAAGGTGACACTAGTTTATATATATATATATATATATATATATAATATAATGTGTACTATTATGTCAATAAGTATAAGTGGCCCAATGGTTATTTTGGGAACCTTGTAGTCTCAGGTTCAATTTTGCACTATGAAGCTCCAGTGACAATGATGGATAAACAAATTAATAATGTAAGGGTATTTTTAATAATTACACAAGAATTTGGGATTGGGTGGCAATTTACGCATTTTATGAGACTTGGAGATAATTGAATGAATTTGTTGGAACTTTACCCTTATTCTCCCAATTAAATTTATAATTGAATAGAAGTTTTGAGTCGCATATGTTGTGACATGTTACTAATAAAAAATGAAGACAAAACAACACAGTGAATCAATGTTTAAATGTAAGAAAAAAATGTTTATATTTAATATTCAATCATATCTCAAATGGAATTATTTTATATTCCTTGAGATCATTTTTGTACCCTTCACATTAATACAGTTGAATCTATTCAAAGCTACTTGGGGTAGTTCAACCCAAAAAAAAAAAAGGTTGCATCATTTGCCTTAAAAAAGTTACCACAAAAAATTGCCCAAAAACCGACCACCAAATCTCCCAATGATAATTTTAAGGCTTCACCTTCTGTACTTGGATTTTCTTTCCATTTCCTCCAAATCTTTTTTTTTTTTAAAATAAATTTTCACTGCATATAATATGTTAAGACATGTAAATAAACAATCATAAGCTCAAAATAATCCACTAGGTACAAAAATATGAGTGCTCAACTTCCTTTAAATCATTCAAAGTTTTTAAAAAAATGGAGAATGCCCAACTAACCCAGATTAGCCAATCCAGCCCAATATGTGATTGGGCACCAGGCCAAGCTTGAACATGGCCGAGCCCAGTATAATTTCACCCCAATCTGAGTCAGAAAAACTGTTCATCATGGCTTTCCTTAATCTATGACGGAATTCTGCCTTCCATGATTTAATATGGTGAGTGCTGCAACTATACTTGGAGTGTAGTCAAGATTTATCAAACTTCCTTGTGAAAAGTTATGCACTATCCTCTCTGACGGGCACAGAAGTTTGAAAACCTTTTCAGCTGCAACTATTTGCTCCTCTCGACATCTGTTATCATGCATTAAATTCCTGCAAAATTTAACAAGGATCTCACTTTAATATTCCAAAAGGGAAAGAACAGTTTTGCTGCTAAATAAAAGTAGCATGAATGATTTCCCTGTGTTCTTACTTGAGCAATGAAGCTAGGTTCCCAGGTGAACAAGATTGAAAAAGCGCTTCAGGAATAATGGCTGAATTTAAGAGAATGTTCGGCAGAGAAATGTATTGTATCTTTGCTTTGCACCGAATAAACCATTCAGTCAAAATATGTGCTCGATATGCAACAACACAAGGTAAACGTGCAAGCTGAAGCTCTAAAGCTGCCGTGCCAGATGTGCATAATGCAACTCTGCTTGCCTGCAATTCATGATTTATGTCTATTTGCAGTTTCCAGGCCAAGAATATGAAGGAATCCAACATCAATAAAAATGACACGAAACCGTGTTACAAATAGTCGAATACATATAAGTTTCTGGGGGAAAAAAACATCTAAGTTGAAGATATGAACTAAGAAGAATCAGAAGCCAATGCCAATACCACCATCCAAGGCATTTACTATCCATTTGCATCAACATGAGAAAACAATTATCTTTATGGAAGACAAATTCTTAAATGTCAATGCAAGTGTAGACTTACATGTCTGTCTCTCTGAGCACTAGAGCTACATCATCCCAAAAATTTTGCATGTTATCATTAAACCAGTTGACAAGACCATGCCTAAACCAGAAATATTAAACGAAATTTCCACTACAAGTTGAATCTTCAGATGCAATGAGTAGAAAATACCGTACTTTTAAAATGTAAGGCTAGAGGGACAATAGGACTCACACTAAAAGCGTCATATTTTAGGTTTGTTGATCCCCCTGGAATCAATATAACAGGAACAGGCCATTTATGAACCGCAGCAGCAATGTAATTTTCCACATGCAGATTGGATGCAACATGAATGACGGTCATCAACTGAGGAAATGTCTCTTTCAGTAGCTCCACTGTGCTTGCAAAGATTGGTAGCATTCGGGTGACTTCTTGTACTCTGCTTCCAGGAAGCACGCTGATGACAGTGGCTTCTTTTAAAGTTATTGCAATAAGATACTACAGTAATTTATTTATCCATGGTAAAGAAAATCATATTATAGTATAGATAAACTTCAACTTAATTCTACAAAATGAAACATTTGATTTTCAAAGGTCAAATCCATAATAAAGTTCAAAACTAAGGTATCTTTTTACTGTTGTACTTTTCCAACTAAAGCTACCTCCATTTTTCCCCAAAACTTTGACAATGGCATGTCACGCTATACCTACATCTAGTTTCTGCCAATGCAAGCAGGAAAGCAGAAACAAATGTTTATCAGAGAAAAGAAAATCATTGGAGAGGTACTGATGATTTGAAACATGAACTCTTATATATGGCACTACCTTAAACAATGGGCTACAGCTTTTATTTGAAAACGAGTTGGAGAGCTACTCTGGATCTGCATTACCTGAGGGCACTGCATGCTTGCTACAGAAATCTTCACCGCTTCCTTCAGCCCTCAGTTCAAGGGCAGGTGATTTGTTTCTCTGAACATTCATCCAATGTTTATAACCAAAATGTTCAAAAATAGGAGACAAGTCATAAAAAAACAGAAGTTATGGAGCAAGAGTACGTTTTATAAATGGAAGTTTTGGTTTAAAAAAAATCACCCCAAAAAAAAAAAAATTGGCATCCAAAGATTCTGTGCTCATACCAAATTCAACTCTAGAATATCTTCTATCATAGGATGCCCAACAAAGGTTGCAGCTAAACCATTTAATTTACAAATTTCAGCCTCATTTGGAAGTATGCACAAGAGATGATCCACAAATTCTGCTAGCCCAGGTAGTCTTGCTTCACCTCCTTTCCATGCCCAAAATGATGGTGCGACATAGTGGAAGTGTACTGGTGAAGGCAACTTTTTCTGATTGTGTCTAGCTGCAAAAAGCATTGTTGAATTTGCATACAGCAAAAATTTCAGTAACAAATATGCATCAGTTTTTCCAGCAAGGCAGGTGTATCAGTACCTCTTAACTGCTTCAAAAACCGAAAAGAAAAGCCCTTTGAGTCAACTGTCAATACAACATGAGGATCAAATTTAGCTGCTGCCTCTACAATTTCCTTCAATTTAACCTGACAATTGGGGGGGGGGGGGGACATATTTGTAAAACTACATTTGTGTGCGTAGGGGTATCTCTAACACATACATACAGATTCACTCATTCACATATGATTCCAAATATATGAAACAAGCATATTTACATTAAATATATATATATATATATATAACGAATAGACCCTTGTTGCAATTTACAATAGCAAATCAAATTGACAAGATCCTTCATTTCCATCACTCACTCTGATTGTATACAGATAAGGCAGCAGTTCCCATATTCCCATTACTGAGATATCCTCCATAGGAAACGACGATTTCAATCCTTCACTGGACATCTTATGCCTGAAATAGATATAACAAAAGGAATTATTTGATAAAACTTTCCATGGATTCTGAAATATGAAGTTACAATAGCACAAGTCATGCCTGGGAGGGGATTTTTGGGGCTTTGAACAATGATAGGTACACTAACAAACTATAAATTAGGAGGAAAACCTAACATTGTTCCTATAACCATTATTTTCAGATCAGTTCTAGAATAAACAGATGCCTTCTGTGCAGCTATTCTATCAAATTTTCAATCAAGAATTAATGCAAAATCTCAGATTTCTGTCTTGGAGGCTTACCGAACACCATTAACTCACACTTCAATTGCTCACTGCATATCAGCAATCCGTTGGGCTGATGGAAACATTCAAAGCATTCAAAGACATGATGAAAATGGACCTTTTTTTCGGGACTGAACTAGGATTCCTCCATTGCTTAAAGAAACAATTAGAAGAAAAACAGAATTTGCTTTTCTTTTCTTTTCTTTTTGTCTTTTTCTTTCTTTCTTTGTTTTGTTTGTACCCCCCCTCCCAAAAAAAAAAAAAACAAAACAAAACAAAACAGCAGAAACCAAATTCAAGTAACATTGGAGGAGTTCGATTTCTGTAGAACAAATGGAATTCTTACAATACAAAACATTCCAAATACACTGCAATAATATGTTCAACTCTGGGATAATTCAAGGAGGAAGAAAAGCCTACCCTCCAACACCAGCAAAACGGACAGGAAAAGGGCACAGATTCTTCAAAGAAGCCATGAGACGGGAAGCAATAGAATCCCCAGAAACCTCACCAGCGACAATGAAAACTCGTAGCTCACCATCTTTCGCCGCCATATCAAGGGGCGCTTTGGCTGTTGAGGATGATGAAGACACTGACGCTATACTCTGCTTTCTCTGTAGTATCCATAACCCCAATACATTCAAACTTTTCCAATTCAACTTTCTTCTGCCTATATTCGCTCCCAGCATCGTAGCGCCCGCTTGCAAGAGACAAAGTAGAAACTCTTCAAAGCTATGGCAGAAGCCGGGGGAAGACCAGATGACAAGTGACTAGTGAAGCAGGACGAGAAGGTTAGAAACGACAAGTTCAAAGACGTCGTTTCAGTCAAATTGCACTCTACGTTGATAATAAATTGTTTAAATAAAATCATAATTTTTTAAATTCAACCTGTCAACATTTCTTTCGGTCATCCCTCTTCGTTGGCTTCCCCTGTCCTCGCAGACATATACAGCTCTTCGCTCCCTCTCTTCCGCTACATATCTCGTTCTCTCTCTCGAAAACTCGATATACACTGCTTGCGAAGTCCAAAGCAAGAACTCCTGGTCGCACAGAAAATTTCATTTCTCACTTGTTTCGCATCTTCTGAGCCCAATCTTTCTCTTGTTAAATGAATTGAGTTCGATGCTCAGATTTTCGGGTAATATATCTCATCTTTTCTCTCTTTAAATTGTTTTTCTGCTTTATACCTGCTGATTATTCTATTTGATTTGGATTATTATATATTTCAATTCAATGGTTCAATTCATTGGAGGCTGTGATATTGATTTTTGTCGTGTGAAAGTGAATATATATATATATATATTTTTTTTTTCCTTGAAATTGTTTAGAATCAACAATGGTTTTGGTTTCCCTCAATAATTTTCCCCTTATCATGGCCAAAATGTGTAGTCATATTATCTATTTTTCTTATGATATTGATAAGAATAAAATGAGTTGTAATACTAAATTAGCGGCTTCAGATAATTTAGATTTCGCCAAGATAAATATAATTAGCTTCCAGTAGATGAAGCCTACTCAATAGATGATTTTCATAGTAAATCTTCATTTATTTAACTTAGTTTACATGTAATCTGGATATATGGATCATAGTCAATATTAAAATTAAAACTAGTTAAAAAAAAAAAAAGGACAGAGGAATGAGGGCAATAGAAAACAAAGCTCTTTTGTATTTTTGTTTGTAATTCAGAAAATAAGCATTGTTCTAACAAATGCATTCTTTCAAATCATGATCAGCGTTTTCCTAAAATTCACCATTTGAAAATAGCAAATAGAAATTAATATATGAACTCTATATTTTTATTTGTTTTCCTTGTAATTTGGCAGGATTTTTATAGTCCAAATGTGTTACTTTGGTGTCTGGGGACAATGAAGACAGTGCTTAACGGCTAAGTAGAGGTTCCTCGCCCTTGGAACGTACATTGTTTATTGAGGTGATGGTATCGAAATGTTCAATTTTGAAGCATCTTTTACAACACCGCTACTCACACACTCTGTCAGAGGCATTTCTCAACCAACTGAAGGCTTGCTCTGAGCTAAAAACACTAGAATCGATTTATGCTTCCATGATTAAGACTAATGCCAACCAAGATTGCTTCTTGATGAATCAATTTATAAGTTATTGTTCAATCTTTTCTTGCATGGATTTTGCAACTTCTGCTTTTAACCAGATGGAGAGTCCTAATACTTTTGTTTACAATGCATTGATTAGAGGCTCAGTTCATTGCTGTTACTTAGAACAAGCTTTCGTATATTATACACACATGCTGCAATGTCGAGTGAATCCTGCCAGTTACACGTTTTCTTCCTTAGTTAAGGCTTCTACATTATTGTTGAGCTCATGTTTTGGCCAAGCTATTCATAGCCACATTTGGAAGCATGGGTTTGAGTTGCATGTGTTTGTTCAGACTACTTTGGTTGAGTTTTATTCGACTTTGGGTGACATCAAGGGCTCAACAATGGTCTTTGATGAAATGTGTGAAAAAGATATTTTTGCTTGGACAACAATGATTAAAGCTCATGTTCGCCATGAGGATATGCATTCTGCACAGAGATTGTTTGATGAAATGCCTGAAAAGAATGTTGCAACATGGAATACCATGATTGATGGATATACAAAATCACGAAATTTTGAATCTGCAGAGTTATTGTTTTATCAAATGCCCTCCAGGGATATAATTTCATGGACAACCATGATGATCTGCTATTCTCAGAACCAAAGATTTCGTGATGTGATTTCACTATTTCATGACATGATATATAGTGGGTTTAGTCCTGATGAAGTGACTATGGCCACTGTCATTTCAGCCTGTGCCCATCTAGGAGCACTTGACATAGGAAGGGAGGTCCACCTTTACTTGATGCTAAATGGATTTGATCTTGATGTTTACACAGGGTCGGCACTCATTGATATGTATGCAAAATGTGGGAACTTAGATAGGTCACTTTTGGTTTTCTACAAATTAAATAACAAAAACCTCTTTTGTTGGAATTCTATTATTGAAGGGCTTGCGGTACATGGCCATGCTCAAGAAGCTTTAAGAATGTTTGATAAAATGGAGAGGAAAGGAATCAAACCCAATGCAATAACGTTTATCAGTGTCTTGAGTGCTTGCACCCATGCAGGATTTGTGGAAGAGGGCCGTCAGAGGTTTGTGAGCATGATCCAGGATTATTGTATCACTCCTCATGTCGAACACTATGGATGCATGGTTGATCTGTTGAGCAAGGCTGGCTTGCTTGAAGAAGCTTTAGACATTATTAGAAGCTTGGCATTTGAACCTAATTCTGTTATTTGGGGTGCCTTGTTGAATGGGTGTAAACTTCACAGGAACTTGGAAATTGCTTATATTGCTGTTCAAAATCTGACAATATTGGAGCCTGATAACAGTGGGTATTACAGTCTCCTTGTTAACATGTATGCTGAAGTAACTCGGTGGAGTGAGGTTGCGAAAATCAGAACTGCCATGAAGGAGCTGGGTATTGAAAAGAGATGTCCTGGATCAAGCTGGGTTGAGATCAAAAAGAAAATTCATCAGTTTGCAGCATATGACAAATGTCACCCATCTTTTTGTGAAGTTCGCTTAGTGCTAACTGAACTGGATGGGCAGATGAAGCTAGCAGGCTGTGCCCCTGAACTGGAGTCTATTTCGTAATGGCTGCTGCTCTTCTACAGCAAATGATTCTCAAGATTGACATGTAGAGGATAGAAAGGAGGAAGAATGTTGTTCAAATTAGAATGAACTTGGACACGTGGATTACTTGATGGCCCTTTTTTACCCCATCTAGTATTGCTTGTCCCTTCATGTAGCACAAAAAAACATTGAAAGTTCAAAAGCACTTCAGACGACGCCGTGTACTGACTGCTGAACTAGTATGTTGATATATTCAGTTATAATTCTCTAATTGTAAATATTATTTTGTCCGGTCAGTCATACTTAATTCCTTTTACCGTCATCTAGAGTGCAGAAGTTAGTTTGGTGAGTACATTTTGAATATTGGTGTCATCTACAGTAAATAATGCAGAACAGAAGTTCAGCACCAATGGAATTCCAACTCAATATGATGGAGCATTTTGGATGAGAGGCTCTCCTTCTAGGATGCTACATGTTGGGTGTGAAATTGGTTACAAGATTGCACGAAAAGTGACCAAATCTTTGTTTTCTCCATTCCAGCATGGCACCACTAGGGCTAAAGGAGCTATGGAGCACATTGTGTGCCATTGCACTTGATGTCAAGCCTGGTCTGATGTGATACTTTTTTTTTTCTTTTTTTTTTTGCTCCCTGTCCACATGGCCACATGGGGAGTCAAGTCAAGGGATTAACCTTAAGATCACATGGAAAGAGTTTTGCAGGTTGAAGAGGCATACTTCTATTCTGGTGGAAAAAGCTAGAATTAGGCTCATTGAATGGAATGACTTTCCCTTTCATATTAAAAATGATAAAACCTAATACTATATATCATAAATGTGACAAGACAATAACCAAAACTTGTATACATCTCATGAATAATGACTCTTAAATTTCAATCTCATGAATTAAATTACCCTTCTTTTTTGTAAACATGATTGATCTCTCTTCCATTCACATTTTGATCATTTTATTTTTGTCTTTATTTTTTTAATTCACTCCATACCTATTCTTTCTAGCAACCAAATGAGCCACTAAGAGAATGTGAATATGAGAAAGTAAAGAGGAGAGAAAACTCCAGGCCTTGTTGACTGTCATTGTAGAGGCTTTTGGTCCTGCTATTAAGATATTTGAATCCTTTTACTCATTTTCTACGTCTAATTGCAAAGAATCAATTCAATAATTGCTGTTTTCCACCTATATGCAACTTAAAGTATATTTTCAAAGAAATAGTCATGTATAAGATGCTCTAAGATAACAGTGTGTACGTGTGTGTTGAGAAGCACACGACACAATGAATATGAATGACTCTGGCTAATCTCCAATGAAGTCCGTTCACAAGCTGAACTAGAAGAGAAGGTGGAGGAGGATAAGGTCAATATAGATGTCTTGGCCATACCACATAACTTCAATGGTGACGTAGTCATCTCATTCATCTCATAGACTTTTAATTAGCACTGACAAAAGGACTCAAGAGTGTTGGTGGCATTAGTTCTTCGAAGAATAGGAGAAGATATGAAAGAAAGAACATTGCACACAAGATTTTAATGCATGTGCAACACTTTTCTTTAAGCTTTAAGTTGTCCCTATTTATTTCAAACTTTCAGGTGCAAACTGGATTAAGGATGAACTTTTTCAGGATAAATAAGAAAATGTTTTAAGCAGTATTGTTGTACTCTCAAAACTCAAGTTAAGATAGCAACGTTGTTTACAAAGTGGTGATTTGCTTTCATGAATGCATATATATATATATATCATGTCCAAGGCGACGTATGAACTGGGGCATCTCCTATTGAGAAGACGATGAAAAACTAAAATATTGCATCACAGTGCATATATTTGTGTCACTTCATTTACTAATATTGACAATTGAAGAAGAAAACAAGCATAAAACAATGCTAGCGGCGGGGAATATGCAAAGTCAAGGAAAGCAGCAGATGATACATATCAATTTTATATATTTTCCAGAATTTCGGTGTATGTGAATGGATATGCACAAGTTGAAGCACATGAGGAGATGCAATGTAATCAGTATAAATAAAGAGCAGATCCACTACTAGCTAAAGGATATACAATCACATCAGTCAAGCAGCAATAAGAAATGATTCCGAGGATGGCAACTCCATTATGCCCAGGTAATGTAATACTCTCATGCAGTGGATCAATATGGGTATGGGGACAAGTTTTGGTGCTCATTACTGTAATGAAATTTATGCCATCTAAAATTAATTTTAATAGCTTAAGTTTAGCTGTTCAATTTTAATCTGAGCAGTCTAGATTGGTGCTTATCACTAAAACTAATCTCACATATGTGCCATGATGAGTAATGCGATATTCATCGTTGCAATGAGATTGAATTATTCAAATCTATTTCAAATGATTCATATTTAAAGTTTTAGGTTTATAATATGTAGTGATTTTTTTTTTTTGAGAAAATGATAGTTAGAAGATTATATTTATTTTAAATTTTGTTTCTATTAAAATAAAAAAAAAAATACAAAAAAAAAAAAAAGAATGGACAGGGAAGAAGAAGTGGCCGGAGCTTGTGGGAGCAAGTGGGAAAGAAACAAAAATGAGGATAGAGAAAGAGACTGCAGACACTGTGGATGCCATTGTGGTGTTACTATCGTCATCCAGGACTACCGATGCAATCGGGTTTGGGTTTGGGTCAACCCTGAATGCATCGTCACTCGCGTTTCCCATGTTGGCTAAATCACCTCCCTTTTATATTTGACATTTTAATTTTATATAAGATTTCATTTAATTTTTTAGTTTCATAAGCTACGTTGTGATTTATGTTTACTCTTTGGTATAAAAGTTGGTAGATTTAGATATGTAATAATTGAAAAGGATATGAGTTTTATGTTTTTTATTCATAATTCATATATATATTATAAGTATGCAATTTCATACATTTTTTAAATATATATATATATAAATATTAAAATTATTATTGGTATTATTATTATAAAAATTTAAAAGAGTCAATATATTATTGTAAAAAATATTTTAAAATATTAAAAAACTGAATTAGATCTATTGAAAGAATACATATATATTATAAATAATAAAAATGTCAAATTTCAAAAGAAAAAGGAAAGATAGGTTGCATATCCAATAATTTTAAAATGCATTAAATGTCGTTAATAATTGGAGCCCAACATAGTGAATATTATAGAAAGTTAAAAAATATTGGACCTGATCGTATTAGCCTTTGTTTTAAGGCCTTTCTTTTCTTGTTTCTTTCCTGTCCAATTTCTCTCTCTCTCTCTCTATATTTATATCAATTAAGTGAGTCATATTGTAATGTACATTTTGTGTTCGTTCAGGCTCAAATGCCAATAATGAATTATTTACCTTAGTCATACTCCTCATTATGGTATCACAAACAAGGTTTAGGCTTTCGCAACTCAATTTGTTTTGAGTCATCATCCTCAAAAGAGCCCCCTTTGTTCGCTTGAAGAAAATCCTAACCCAAAAGGAAAACAAAAAAAAACCTTTTCAACGCATTCCATAGTTGTTGATCTGAACCACATTTCTCTAATTCTTTTCATCATTGTCGTTGACGATGCCATCCGATGAAGAAATTACTATCAAGAAAGATAAATCTTCCACTCTCGACCTATATCATTCCTTTTTTTTCCTTCCTTCTAAAACCCAAGCAACAACCTTAGTTGCACAACCTCTTATTGGAGCAACAAACTACGTCATCTAGAGCAAAGTAATGAAGATGGCCCTTCGAGAAAGAAACAAGAAAATAAAGACCTTAAAACAAAGGCTAACAAGACCAGCCCAATATTTATTAACTTTCTATAAATATAAAATAAAACTATAACAATATAAATCCAAACTGTTCAAGTTAAAATTTTGATATTTATGACGATCGATTAGCATCAAACATAATTAGGTGTGTAATATAGTTAAGTAAAAAGAGATTATGACTAAGTTTTGGGCTTACTTGTGAGATCTTAAAATGGCCTGGGATCTTGATTTTAAGAAGCTCATCCTTGAATTTGATTCGTGTGAAACCATTAAGTTGATTAATGGTATTGATCCCCTTGACCATTCAAACACCGATCTTGTTGATGAAATCAAATCATTGTTGGCTCAAGATTAAGTGATGCTTATTCAATAGATTTCGAAGGATGCCAACAAAGCTACTATCTTCTTTTTAAATTAGCTTTTTCTTATATTAATGCATTTAGTGAAAGAGACCTATGATAAAACATTAAAAGATATATAATATAATATATTTCCTATATGGAAATATATTTATAGACTAATCATAAAGCACTAAAAATATGCAAACTAGCATACATGCATAGTCCTTAATACTAAGCAAAATATAATCATTAATTGTATTTATATTTTATCTTTACTTATGGTTTACCTTCTAGTCTCTACTAATAGTTCTTTACTTACAGTTTATATGCTAAAAGATTATATTCCTACATGTTTATAATTAAAAAAATATAATTTTATTCTTTTATTATATCTAAAACTTATTTTTAAGGAAAATAAAATATTTAACTTTAAAAGCAAATCACAAACATATATTAAGAATAAAAAAATTAATCTCACAATATTTAATAAAATTTAATTTCTTAAAAAAAGTCTTAAAATAGTGGCTTTAAGGTATCAACTCGCTATTCAAAAATGTCAAATATGTATCAAAAATTAAAAAAAATTAAATTAAAAAATAGTAGCAATTTAAAATATTGACGCTTTGTGAAAAAAAAAAAAAAACTACAGGCACTGTGGACGCCATTGTGGTGTTGGAGGGCACCATCACCATTAAGGATTATCGGCGCAGTCTAGTTTGGGTTTGGGTCAAGGTCAACTCTCATGGCAGTATCACTTATGTTCCTCACATTGGCAGACCACCTCTTCCTTGTCAAAAGTGTACATTTATTTTTTTAATTTATACAAAATTTTAATTTGTATTATTTTAATTATCAACTATATTCATAAAATCAGTGGCAAAAATTAAAAAAGAAAGAAACTATTTGATTTTAAAAAATTGCATTTCATTTCAAATCCAATCTTTTGAACTATCAATAAGATGAAGATTAGCATAAATAAATATTACTTTTTTAAGTTCAACTTAAAATGTATAGGTTACCTAGGATGAAAAATAATAAAATATCTATAAATACACAGCATAATCTTCATAAATTCTCAATGTAATATCTTGTAATTGATAAAAAAATATTTAAGAGTAAATGCAACAAAATTTTTTGCTATGGGAGCCTTAAGTGAGATTCTCTCTCTCTTTGTTTTTTTTTTTTTGGCTCTGCACGTAGTCCCTTAAGTTTTATCAGTCTGCAATTTTAGTCCTTATCATAAATTATAGAATTAAATTTGCTTACATGTGTATATATATATGACTCTATTAAGTCTATTGTCGAGTTGGTAAAATTATGATAAATTAGACATTTTATAAGTAAATGACTACTAACTTTTTTGCCTTTCTGCCTAACATTAGGTGAAATTTAAGGGACTAGAAGCAACAAAAAATATATAAGGACAAATACTGCAAAACATGTTAAAAGCAAAGGACCAATAGTTGTGATTTGAGAGAGAGAGAGAGAGAGAGAGAGTTATATACAAGTTTCACATAAGAAAATTAACTACTGTTTATTAATAATTGAATTAAAGCCAACTTTAATTTAGTTATTAATTAATTTTATG